TTAATTTTAACTTGTCGCGAAACGTTCAAGCAGAAATATTTGCGGATAATCATTCAAAGGAATAAAATCGTCTCGCAGCATGAGCTGGGTGTAGCGTGTGACATGTTACAAGTCTGTCACATGACACCTTCGATCAAAACATTTTGAATCTCCCCTCCCAAAATTCGTTTCTGTATCCGCCCCCGCTCATGTCATTAATGTCAATATGACATTAAAGCACAGTTTCACAATGATTGTGAAGTAGTTCGCTTGACATTTGGAGAATTCTTCCTCTTTTAGAATTACGCATTTCATTTCACGAACGAATGGAGGAAGGAGAGTCTATTAAGTTCAAGGACACAAAAACCACAGAATCGTCAGTTGCGTTGCCAGCACTAGCTGTCAAATCATCCCATCCTAAAGAAAATCGAACAATACACGAAGGGACGAAACTAATCAGCCGACGCGGCGGAGGGATACTTCTCTGATGAACACGTGATCTTCACTTGTTTCACGAACTGTCACTTTATCCCGTTCTTAAGAAAACCGTTCTATAGTACATTGCGGGGCGACTCACCTCGAGGAGCGCGGTCTGCGCGCCGACCCACGCGTCGCGCGCCAGCCGGGAGCGGAGGCGGCGCCAGGAGGGCGAGGGCGGCAGCGCGGGCAGCGCCGCCCACGACCAGCACCGCCGCCGCCGCCAATGCCCCTCCCCCTCCCCCTCCGCCACGGCGCCCGCGCCCGCCCACAGCGGCCGGTCCGTCAGCACCACTCGCCCGCGACGCTCAACCATAGACTAAAGGCCCATTCACAATGCAAGCGTAAACATACGCATAACGCGTAGACGTAAACGTTAACATAAGACATAGACTCAAGTATTCACTATGCCTAACATAAACGTAAGCAAAATAAGAGTTTGTATTGGCTGTGAGACATTCTGGTTGGATGTGAGAATCGATTTCAAGAAATAGACAGTGACCATGGCCCATATGATGTTAGTTTGTCTATCGACTACCCTACTATTTAGATTCTCGATTTTGAGTTACCGTTCTGTGATTGGTTCATTTCTTATGTCTTACTTAAGCATAAGCATAGAAGCTTGCAAGCTTTTAAGTTAACGTCTTACGTGTTATGCTTATGCGAACGCATTGTGAATGAGTCCGCTTATGGACGTAGTTCTAACTTTTATGTTAACGCCATGCTTATGTTTACGTTTGCATTGTGAATGGGCCTTAAAGAAGTATAGTTGATCACTCTCGCCACGCGCTGCGCAGCGGGGCGGGGTATGATCGCCTCAACCCTTTCTACCTCACCTTGAGACCGAGCGCAAGCGTAATAAACTCGAGAACAATCCCGTTCAGGTTGAGACCACACACATTCACGCTGAGGAAGAGAAGAAGAACAAGGAGGAGGGCGAGAAGAGAATGAAGGAGGAGAGGATGAAAAGAAGATAAGACAACAACAATAACTACAACAACAACATCCGAGGAGGAGAAGAAGAATAAGGGCGAACAAGAAGAAAGACGAAAGTCACGTACTAGAAGAAGGAGAGAACGAGAAGAAGAATGTAGAAGGAGGAGACAGAAAGGAGAACAAGAAGAAGAAACAGAAAAATGTAGAAGAAAGAAGCGGAGAAGAAAGGAGAAACAACAGAACAAGAATAGAGGTAGAAGAGGTGGAGGAGCGAGGAGAAAGAGGAAGGATAAGAAGAAGGAGGAGAAAGAGAGGAAGAATTAAGAACATTCGAATTTATTTTTGTTTTTATACTGGTTTAACAACACAATAAACGTTCCAAAGTTTTACATCATATATATACGTCTATTCTCTTCAATGTTCCTTGCTCTCAAATCGTATGTTTAGTCACAATCTGAATTTCATTAGTCTCCATTCCGAAGTATTTCTTCTCAATGATTGGAATGCTCTCAATTATTAGTTCTGAATTTGAAATTGGTCCCCATTTGATCGTGCTTGGAGTCGAGGTTGAAAAGGTAGACCGCTATTATAACGATATCGGCCACGACATGGCCATTTAACCTTTCATGGACAGAGAGTTTCTACACGTTTTCCTTCTGAGGGCGAATGCATAGTTGACACTTATATAATAAAGGCATCTTCAATTGATAAGTGATTGCCAGTAATGAGTGGTCACTTATGAAGACGTGTGTTTCGTAGACGTACCTCTTGAATGGAGAAGACGAACACTTATATGTAAGCAATCGTAGCAACGTGTGATTTCCAATAACTGTTTTCGCGATTGTATGATCACGGAGTATACACGCGCAAATATTACAAAGAGTGTTTAATTTGATATATATAAACCGGTCACCATGGTATATTTCCAACCACTTACACGAATGAAATTTTTACTTACGAGTACTACTAGTTGAACTCCTGCGATTACACATAAAAAAGTGCTTTAGACGCATTTCAACTGAAAAGTGCTACATGTACACTCTTCGAGAAAACGAAAATTCCAAAAAGGTCGTTTCAAGTCGTTCAGTATTTGTTCTTCGAAACTAACGACTGAGGTTTACAAACTCTGGAACAACACATTTAGTATTTATTCTGAACACAGAATTGAATATGTTTATGAAACCTTTTTTTTAAATTTACCAAGATCTGTACATGTTTGATGTCCTGGACTATAGCAGGCTATCCTGTGACCCATCGAAACGCAATGCATCATGATAGGGACACATGCGTCAGACAATTGTTGAACGCCGGGTTTATATACACTCAACTAATCTTTTCATTTAAAAACAGTCAATCTTCAAACATAAAAATGTCGCTATATTCAATTCGCCAACTGTAACCTCATGATGCAAGGACATTCTTGCATTAAGTATCACATCACACTCACACGAATAAAGAAATGGCGATTGCTTTCGATTGCAACTCGCTAAACAAAACAACACCAACTACAATTATTTTGTAGTTGGTCTTGAAGATGACGTAATGAACAAATGAGGATAGATAAGCGTTTGTTCTCTTAATTTTAATATATTTTTAATGTTAGTGTTTCACTAATAAATCGGTTAATAAAAGCAAGTGATAACATCTTGACTTTTTTTAGCGGTCAAGGTAATAATTTTTTGTATTTATGCTTTTTTTTCGAAGTTACGTAGCTCTGAACGACCAGCAAGATTCTCCACACTTCAGAATACTTGAAGGAATCACTCTTCTCTAGAAACGATATGATAGAATCGACGCGAGCGAAAACCAAATTTTTGGAACTTTATTTCTTTAAAATAATTACCTACTTTTGTAATTTTGAATACGTTTTCTGTGAAACGATGACATCATATGCAAATGGATGAGTAACTCACTTAAGTTTTAAATCGACAACAACTAATGCTTTCTAAACGACAATATATCATTCAGGTATTTTGTACATGTGGACTCCAGCACTGAGTATCGCTTAATAACGTTAAAAGGATGATAAGCGTGCTTCAGGCGCAATTTTACCACTTCATCCGAAAGAACTACATATGTATTGTAACTAAAGAAAAATCAAGTAATATACGAGAAAAATTTCCGTACAATTTCAATGTAATGCAGTTTTTTCAATGTAATACATAGTTTGGTTATATTTTAGAAGAACATATCCTAAGGGTTTAAAACTAGAACTTCAAAAGAAAATATTTTACGCGCATTTGATTTTTGTTTGTATTCCAGTGCATTTTCTCAAAAAACCCAAAAGCAATCTTTAAAAAAGACTCCAAATGCAATCTTGAAAAAATACGTAAACAAGGCTTTGTAAAAAATTATTCTATATTTCTGCTACAAACTTTTTTGTGAGGATGGGGAATAATTGAATGAATCAGATGGAATAAATACTATATTCACTAAAGCCGCTGAAATCCCAAAAATCACAGAAAAGTAAACATGACTTTTTCATCTAGAGGGAATCAAAGCAAGGAGGGAAGTGTATATATTTTGTCTAGCAGAGACATTGTTAAAAAATTAAAACTAAATTTACAAAATTAAATTTTAAAAAGTTTAAATTCATTAACACCTTCATTAATTCCCTTTCCGTTCCCTGTAATTCAAATTTTGATATCTGGCAACTCAAACTTTGATAAATTCAAATATTTTCTTTCGCCATTAGATTCCATATATCAATGTTACACTGTTGAATCATCCTTATGTTACTACAGGATTTTCACAATCATAATTTTTGTTACACGATTAGTTCCGTAGCCCTGGCGTCCTAACCGGCACACGATATATTCCACGCTTCACGACTTCACTCTCGACAAAAGAAACTCTCGCTCCCACTTACCCTAAGATCTCCGGCCTCCTCCGAGGCCGTCTGGCCCTCCACTAGTGGCCCGCGTGCTCCGCTCCGTGCTGGCCTCCGCGTCCCCCTCGGCTCACTGTGCGAGTGGTGGTGCGCACCGTCTCCGTGCCCCCGGGCCCGCTGCGGCTCACCCTGGTGACGACGCGCTCCTCGTACGTCGTTTCGTACGCGTCCGACTCGGCGCCGCCGCTCGCGCCCGCGTCGCTTCCGGAGTCCGCGCCGGCCCTCTCGTGGCCTCCGTCCTGGCCTGCGCGCGGCCCGGCCGGCCGTCTGGGCGTGGTGGTCGCCGTCACGCGCGCGTGGTGAGCCTCCATCGTGGCCGCGTGAGCCGCCGGGTCCGGCGCGGCCTCCTCGTCCTCGTGATGGTGATCGTGATCCGCGTGACCGGCCGCGTGTTGGTGTCCCCGGGCCCCCGCGTCGCTCGCCCTGTCGGATTTGGGCGAAGGGGTCGTCGCAGCCGGACGGCTCGTCGACCCCGATCGCGGTTTGCCGGCGCTTTTCGCCGCGGCCCCGCTCGTCTCTCCGCGGGTCGCGTCGCTGCCCGTCTGGCTTCTGCGCTTCGCGCCGGCGCCGCGGCTGTCGTGCCCCGCGTTGCTTTCTCCGTGGCTCGGCGCGTTGCTTTCTCCGTGGCTTTCGGACGCCCCGCGACGGATGACGTAGGTCACCGGAGGCGCGTTGCCCTCGCTGTAAGTGATGATCTCGGTCACTTCGGCACCCCCGTGGCCCTGCGCGAAGCTTCCAGATCGCGCCACGTGCGTCGCGTGGTCCGCTCCGTGTGGTCCGGCGGTGTGTTCGTGGTACGCCCCGCCGGAGTCCGCGCCGCCTCCGTGCTGAACGTACGTCACCGATCCCCCGTGGCCGGCGTGCGCCGGGCCGTGGAAGCTGGGGCCCGAGTGGAACTCCCCGTGGCTCTCGTGACCGCCGGGTCCCACGTGAGTCACAGTGTACGATCCGGATCCCCCGTAGCTCATGCCGTGGCCGCTCCCGAACGACTCGTGCGTCATTCCTCCTTGACCTCCGTGGCCACTGAAACCTCCATGCCCTCCAAAATTTCCATGACCTCCGTGACCACCAAAGCTTCCATGACCTCCATGTCCACCAAAGCTTCCATGACCTCCATGTCCACCAAAGCCTCCATGACCTTCATGACCACCAAAACCCCCATGACCTCCATGACCGCCAAATCCCCCATGACCTCCGTGGCCGCCAAAAGTCCCATAACCGCCTTGTTGAGCGTGGGCCGCGTGGTCGCTCCCGGCGCTGTCCGCTTCTCCCGCCCGCCCTGCTTCCTGGCCGGCGTGGGGCGAGTGGCTCGTCCGTTGGCTTCCGCCGCCGCCCGATCGGCCCTTTCCGTGGCCGCCGTGCATTTCGATCGGGCGTCTTCTCAGACAGTGGGGCTTGTTCCGCGGCCTCAGTTCTCAGAACGATCTTCTTTCGTGTGCTTTCGTTTCGGTGTGCTTTGCGTTCCTAAAATGTGGCGTTCTCTCCGCCGCAAACGGTCAACCTATTCACGATCTGTTTCTAGCCAGCTCTGAACTCTCAATCGATCCACATCCCGCAACTAAACCTTTTCAATAGCGTCTGCCTCCACTCACATGCAGCCTACGAGTCGACATTATTTCGGAACTAACGCATGTTCCTGAGTCCTTGTACTTGCTCTTTAACCGTCAAATACCCTAATCCGCGCTCGATGCATGCTGCATAACGAATGAGTTCTTCTTGAGTTAGTCGATTCACAATTTCCTTCCGATCATACGAATGTCGTCGCACTTTAAAATCCCTTACACTCTCGTTGGAAATACACAAATGTATCAAGTGTCATAGCGTCCCGCACGTTTCATTGTTTTCGCGGCAAAGCATGTTCCTCTGCACTCACAACCGATCCGCCACAAAACAGGTCCACCGGTATACCATCGGCTGCCACCGCGAGTTGTTCTTCGCGTCTGCAGAACGTGCGACCTTCGAGTGCCTCTCCTCCGTGCGAGGTGTTGCGAGCGCGTGGGGGAGGGGGCGCCGTGGCGTGGCGCGGCCGCAGCGGGGCCGGGGCGCGCGTGAGTGCGCCGCGGAGGCTGGTCGCTGCGCCCGTCGTCTCGCTCACTCCGTGCGTAACGCAGCGACGAAGTCCTTGGCTCTGCGCTCCTTGCGTGCGCTGCGGGCGACGACGCCGCACCTGCGCCAGGCGGAGAATCCAAGCTCGTCATTTCGGAGGGGCTCATCAAGATTTATTATTGATTATTTATAATTATTATTATTATTATTATTATTATTATTATTATTATTATTATTATTATTATTATTATCGTATAGGCCATTACTGCCCACGCTACACGATTAACGTGTGTAATTCTTCCAGGATCAGCTTTTCAGCTGTATCTCTCAGTACGACAAGGTTGTTTCGTCTAGAAGTGTGAATTATGAGATGATAGAATGATGATGAGGGGCGAAGGGACATTCACAAATACGACCATGTCTACGCAGAACTCGAACCTGCAACCTCCTCGGCGCAGACGACGGCTGCCGCAACCGTCTGCACCAACGGGGCCACTTTATTACTTATTATTAATTATTATTATTATTATTTTATTATTATTATTATTATTATTATCATCGTATAGGCCATTACTGACTACGCTACACGATTAACGTGTGTAATTCTTCCAGAATCAGCTTTTCATCTGTATCCTTGGATTACAACAAGGTTGTTACACCTTGAAGAGTGAATTATGAGATGAAAGGATGATGATAGGTGAAGGGACAATCACAAATACACAACCATGCCCGAGGCGGGACTCGAACCCGCGATCCTTCGGTCCGAGATCGCTAAGGCAGTAGTGCTGTCACCGGATCGGCCAAAGATTTATTTAATAATAAATGTTTGTTTACTTTTCCAAATACTACGTATATACGGAATAATATACGTAGTATAGGGAAAGTTAAGTAATGTAATTTATGTATGTATGTATTTAATTTCCTTCCGTTTCTACGAATGTTTTCGCACTGTGAAATCCCTTATACTTTCGTTGGAAATACACAAATGTATCAAATGTCATAGCGTCCCGCACGTTTCACTGTTTTCGCGGCAAGACGTATTCCTCTGCACTCACAACCGACAGAGAAAGTTACGTAATGCTGCGGAAACTCGATTTCAAGGTTGCAACGCAAAATTTTTTGGGTTCTCTGATACCGAAAAAGTGTTGTTTTTTTTTCTTCAAATCGTCCATTTGTCCGTCTGGTGTATGTGAACAGTACTAGCGCCTAAACCATGCGCAGGACTTTTTTTTTAATTGAAGAAACCCCTCTCCATCTCGCTCGAGTCAAAACTTTGAGATTTTGAAAAATATTCTCCAAAATTTGGGGGTACTTTACATGAAGCCCTCTGGACATTTTCAACATTTTCTCAAAAACAATTGCAAATATTTTCTTTAAATTTCTGGTAAGAATAGAGTAGCATACACTTATAAATGTGGTATATGTTCGATTTTCATGGTTAACTATAAATTTTCGAAAATTTCAAAAGTATGATTTTTTTGTGTGTGTCTTCTTAAACCTACAAAATTAAAGAGAGTTTTTCCCTTCAAATAAAATTTGTTTTCCATAGTTCTTTCATTAAGGTACATTTTTTGAAAAATTTTAGTAGTTTTGTGCAATATGTGCAATTTTGATTAAAAAATACAAAAACAAGATTTTCTCAAAAATGACTCCAAATTTTTTTTATTCTTTCGTTAGGGATAGTGCTAAATGTACTCTATAAGATGACATAAACGCTATATTGCTCTATTCTTTTGTTTTTTTCAAAAATTACGCAAATGAACATTTTTTGAAAGATCTCTCACGTACATTTCCAGTAATTTATAAACACTATTGTATTTGTGAGTTAAAGTACTTAAAATGACTTCAAATGAAGGTTTTCGAAAACCCAAAAAATTCCTGTCAAAATGAGCTTAAAATTTCCAATTTACAGCAGCACTTAAACGCCAGTTTTTAAAAACGATTCCAAGTTTTTACAAAGAATATTTCCACTTAGGACGAGGTTTTACTGATCTGTAATCTTAAAATAATATTTGCAATCAACAATTAAGAAACCGGAAAATTAAGAAAATGTCAAAAAAATGTACTTTGGGCGGCAATAGATGACAGCTGGCAAAGGTATGTAGCAAGTCCGAGTTGCTAGCCAAGACCAAATGAAATAGAAAACTAATAGGTGAAAGTCTATGCCATTTGTGCCAGAACTAGTTATTATATTGCACAATATTTTAGACGCAATTGCTACAAGCTCTAATCTCATGACATGAATGGTAGTATAGTGCTTGTACGTGTAAGTAAATGGTGACGTTAGGACGAGGAAGAGGAAGGAAAGATCGCGCGCGGTTCGTGGCCCTTTGGTAGGGTACTGCGCTGGCATTCGCCTGGTGTTGATCGGAGAAACTCGGAAAACTACCGATCGGAGAAGCGGGACGCTAGAATTTTCCTCGGCCAGCGGCTGAATTCGACCCAGCAACCTAGCTAGTGTGGAAACTCTTGCCTCTGTCGGGACTCAAACTCTACAACCTTTTAAGTCAGAGACGCTGCAGCGGCTAATGTTTCCCTGTGCCGTCTGAGGTACACACGTGAAACTCTCTAAGTCCATTTATTTTATGATTTTGAGTTATTTACATCTCTATAGCACATTTTTTCTGTTATTTTCTTTTGTAAAATTGCTGTCCTAGAATTGGTTGAACTAAACTATCGATTATTTACAGTGAAACTGTGAAAATGTACAAGAAAAATCCAACTTTGGACCTGATTTTTCTGTTTCTTTAAAACAATATTACATATTAAAATGTGTGAAAAATAACTCTCTTTCATTTTCGGTTCTCTAGCAAAAGGTTTTAAAGGCCACGCTGCAGTGGCCAATACTGGATTCCATATACGGTATCCGAGAAATATAAGGTTCTTCTTCCAAGATTCATAGATGTGGCTTCACTATGCGCGCGTTTCGTTTACCGTCACTGATCACGTTACTTTTTGCTAGTAGTGGTAGGAGCAGAGCCGGGAACGAGGTAGAATATATTTAGCAATCAAACAAATCAAATTGCTCTTCGTTTATAGATGCAAATTAATTTTTTTATAATTCAGAAGTGAAAATGTCTAGTTTTCAAATGTTGCTAACCTTGTAATTTTTTATACTTGTATTCATCATTCAACTATTTATAGTTCAATTATTAGGAAAAGATCCTGGAGCTCAAGAAAAGTGCGCAGATGACACTTGTGCCCCGTACGTCACTTACAGCATTTGATTGATTGATTACTGGTCATTCCGGGTGCGTCAACTGCTAAAGTCATTCGCGCCGTAAGTGTAGTGCCTGTTTTGTGCGCGGGAGGTGGCAGTGATCTCACTCCCCCGGATGGCAAGATTCTGCGCCGACCTGCCGGTGGCTAGAGGGGATTTCCTCAACTAGGTATCTCCCACCAACGGGGAACCGCCTCAGCCGGGACACGCTCTACGCTCCTGACCGGCCTCCCGGCAAGTGGGATGGAGTAGTGCGGGTAATGGTAAGTGTGTGTAAGTAAGGGATTGGGGAGGGGACAAGAAAGAGGAAGGAAAGATCGCGCGCGGTCCGTGGCCCGTTTGATACTGGTACTGCTCTGGCATTCGTTTGGTGTCGATCGGAGAAACCATGGGAAACTCCCGATCAGAGCAGCCGGCCGTTAGAATTCCCCACCAGACAGCGG